ACCACCACCAGCACCAGGCTCCGGGACGCCCTGCCCGCTGCCAGCCAGCGCCAGGGTACGCCTTCAGGGGACATGGCCAAGAGCCTGGAGCTCAGCTGGGGTCCTCCTGGCTCCTAGTCTTCAGGGCAGAAGGTCTCCTATAACCTTTAAAGAAAACACTCTGCGTTACAACCTCCCGCAGCTCATGGCTTCTCCCTTAAGACAGCATCTCCTGAGGTCACTGAGCGTCTGTGTCCTCCAAGAGCTTGGGTGCTCTTCTTGAGGACCCCAGTGTCCTTCAAGAGCTGGGACCACCAGCTTTGCTCTTCAAAGACTGGTTTGATCGAGCTTGTATTTAAAGTTGCAGACAGAGTGTGCTCTAACCCATTTCCACTCTCCCGAGACATCTTGTACCTGCTTCAAGGCATCGTTTAAGTCTTCTTCCAAAGACTCAAAGCACAGATCAAGCCGGCAGCTTATCTGTGGTAATCTCTACATCTTTTATTCCATGTTTGTTCTTTGGAGATTAAATTAGGTCTCAAAGGAAATTCATTTACCTTACATGTCTTTTCATTTGACCTAATTGAAATGTCATGGCAAGATACAAGACTTAAAAGCCTACCGTATGTGATTAAGATCAGGGCTTCAGAGGCTCTGAGAGAAGATCACTCGCTTGGTCACACTGAAAATATCAATCAGAAAATTGCTCTAAGCCAGCCAAACAATTAGCTATTTGCGTTCTTGTAGCTCGTAGGCACTTCAGAGACTAAGTGGCAAAATGGATGGAGTTGGGTCTGAACTATCACTCTTCCCAAGACTCCCGTGGTTTCCTGAAATCCCAGCCAATGATATTTACCAAATTTTAATAAAAAAAAAAGACAAACCATCCAAACCAATATCATCAAATATGAATGCCACACAAGTCACTTAATTGGGAAACAGGGATGGGTTCTCACTGTACCTCCAAGCAGCAGCAAATACCAAATAATAGAATTAATTAATGCTGACAAGTATCTCAAGGGTGGGTTGAAGGAGGAGGGAGCCAGACTCTTTGCAGTGGTTCCCAGTGAGAGGACGAGGGGCAACGGGCACAAGTTGGAACATAAGAAGTTCCACTCAAATATGAGAAAAAACTTCTTCACAGTGAGGGTGCCAGAGCCCTGGAACAGGCTGCCCAGGGAGGGTGTGGAGTCCCCTTCTTTGGAGATTTTCAAGCCCCACCTGGATGCTCCTGAGTAACATGCTCTGACAAGCTCTAGGCAATCCTGCTTCAGCAGGGGAGTTGGACTAGATGATCTCTATGGTCCCTTCCAACTCTAAAAATTCAGTGAAATTCAGTGAAATTCAGTGAATTAATGCAAGAGAAGATAGACAGATAGATAGATAGATAGATAGATAGACAGATAGACAGATAAGAAAGAAATTAGAGAGAATGAGTAAGTATAGACAATAAATACATGTAGACTGATTTAATCTGCAAACCCCATCCCCTTCTCAATGCAAACCTGTTGCGTGGAGCAGAGGAAAAGGAGCTCTTACCCTGGAGCCCATCCTGGTGCGAGGAGCCGGCGGTGGGAGCGGTGTGGGCTGCGGCCGCTGCTCCCAGAGGATTTACGAGCACCTTTTATCAGAAGAGGATATGAGTGTCCCTCTTTCCATGGAGATTTAATTGGAACCTCAAACAAGTTTCATGCAGCCCTGCAGCTCCCTCTGCGTCAGAGCAGGGCGGTGGGGTGGGCTGAGGGGGGTGAGGAGGAGAGGCAGGAGGGTTTATCTGCAGCAGAGCCACCCGCTCTCCCGGCTTTCATCAACCCTTATCTCTCTCCGAGCACCTTAACTCTTGCCTGGGTCTGAGCACACGGAAGGCACTGCCCTCTCCTCCCTGGGGGATGCTGTTGGGTGGTTACAAGGGGCAGCGAATGGATCCATCCCTGGGAGGGAAGGCTGGCACCCTTCAACGGCCCTGGGAAATGCATTTATAAAATACAGAAGGTCTTGGGCTACCTTCCAGAGGCTGATGGCCATCCTCTTGCTGCCAAAAGCTGCTTGTCCTTCAACTGCCCTCCTTCAGCTGTGAGCCCAGGGTAAAAGCAGGCAGATTTCACTGATGGGACCTGCAGCACCCTGGGGATTTTTGGTTAATTGCAAAGCACAATTTGGTGAAAGAGAGATATTGATGCTTAGCGATATGGTTCAGTGACGGGTTTTGTCAGCGTTGGGTTGGTGGTTGGACTTGATGAGCTGAAAGGTCTCTTTCAACCTTGGTGATTCTATGATTCTGTAACTCTAGGATTCTATGAAAGAGGGCTATCACATCAGTCACTCTTCCCCTCTCCCTCTGCACGTGTTTTTGCCTAGTCCACACCAAGCTGCCTTTGCCTAGGCCACAACGCAGATCAGCTCTCCAGGATTTCCAAATGTGTAAGTGTGATGATAATATATTTATTTATCATTAAATACCTTTAAGGCCAGAATGCATTGGTCTGGCCCATGATTTCTGAGAGCTCTGGGGGAAATCTCGCCTCTTCCCTTGGTATTAACGGGTCCCTCCACCCCTTACCTTCTCCCCACAGATGATGCTGGAAGTGGGGTCCTCACCCACAGCCTTTCCCCACACTGTTACACTGTCTGCTTTATCACCAGGGAAGACGTTTCTCAAAGTAACAAGGCCAGTTTCTCATCAGCAAAGCTGGATGGAAAATTATATCCATGCACGGGTGAGGCACTGCAAACGCCATTTACAACGGAATCTCTTTTCTTTCATCATTTCTGTTTTCTTAAACTTCTGACACTTTGCTCCGTGATTTCTTTTTCCAACCAGAACTGATTCCATCATTCATTCAGGGTACGGAGATTTACCGCAGAGAAAGAAAATAAATCCTAAACATATTCACCTTTTCTCTGTTGGGGTGTAAATCTGCCAGTGAGGCCATTTGTCTGGCTTCCGCCCGGCCAAAAACTCTTGCCAATAACGTGAGATGAGTGCATCCTACCAAGGAATTCCCCGGGTGTGCATTAGAACAGAAGTCGAAGCCTTTAAATATGTTTCATGAGCTGCGAATTGAATGGCTGGGCCTGGAAATGACTTTCTAAATATCTTGGAGGCTGAGCAGTGCAGCACCACCATCTACTGAGGGAGCTCAGAACTGCTCAGCCGTTACCTGGGGCTCCGGGTAGAAAATAATTCCCATTCTCCTTCAGGTGGGGAGAGGCACACGGAGACGGTTGTTATTACTATTATCTCTTTCTTTTGTGAGCCCCAAGGTCAGGACACCACCTCATTTGGCAGCTTAAAGCAGCCCAAGGAGATGGCAGTTGTGTCACTTGTGGTGCAGAGATGATGGGAAAGCTTACTCAGATGTGCTTGGGGAGCATTTCCACACGTCTTGTCAGATTTTTTCCAGGCAGTTCTCCGAGATTTATATTTTTAGCCATTATAAATATTTGCCATGATTTTTTCTTTCAATAACCCTACGGAAAAAAAAAAAAAAAAAAAAAAAAAGAAGATTCGTATGTAAATAAAATTCCATAAACTGTTCAAGGATATGAAGAACCACTTAAGAAATATAAGCCATATTTGCATTTGAAGAAACTAGTTTAGTGGGTTTGTTTATTATATAGCTATAAAATACATCATCAGTTTTTCACCTCTTTTGTATTTTGTTTGTATAATGAATATTATGATGTTCTATGTAATAATGTACACAATGTTATACATGAGCTATGTGCAAAGTGTAATGTAATATTTAATTAATTACATTGTGAATTTTGCAAACTAAGGTAAAACCTAGAATTAGTGATTGACATGCACGCTTTTCTTTCCAGGTAAGATTTTCTTTTCCCCTTTTCACTCATCTCAGCCTGAGGATGTCAAGTTCTCAGATGGGCTGAAACAAGTGTCATTTTTCTCTTTTTTTTCTTAAACACAGAAAATATGTGAATACATGTTTTTTTCAAGCTTTGCTTTGGTCCAAAAACCAAGAACGTGAAATTTCCCACACCTGTGATTGACTAGTAACTCCAAAGAAGTTCACCATATATGGTTCTCAGAAGACATGTATTTGAACTACCTTGCCTTAAGCCATGTTTTTCTTAAACATGATTTTAGTTAGACAAAAAATATTTTTTAATAAGTAAATAAAATGCAAAAAGGTCTGTTTTGAGCAATTGGAGTTTGCATCCCTGGGCCACATTTCCACCAGGCTTTGAACTCAGGGGAAGCAGTTTGCGAAGTATTGGGGGTTGAAATAACCTTTAAGGCTGCCACTGAGTCCTGCTGGTTTGGATTCTGTCAAGTCCTTTTGCATATTAACACACAGGAGAGCTCGTTAATGTGCTCACGGGCACGTTGCATTAGAAGGAGAGCTGAAACCTGGCCAAAGCCTTCCAGTTTTGTGTTTAATCCACTCGATGGCATTGTCCCTTTGTCTGGGGGTTATTTATGGTGTTTACCCCCTCCTTAGCCAGTTTCTTGTGCCATTGTTTAGGTTTTTTTTCCACCAGTCTCACGAGTCCTTGGTGCCAAGCCCACAATTGCCAATATCTTTTTGAAAACGTATTCCTCCAAAATATTCTAGTTTTAATGCAGAAGAAGATAGAATGTTGTTTATAACATCAAATAATTCTGTCTCACTGCTAAGCCAGGGGAACAGCAACTATTAAGATTTAAGACATATGGAGAGATGCATAAGCCATAAGGAAATAGAAGCTTGACAGGCTAATGGTTTCCTGGAAAAAGGTGTTTATAAATAACCCACTGTCTTTTTTTTTTTTTTTTAAATGAAATTAAAGGTTCAGGGGGTAAGGCAGCTCTCATTCTGTCCTTTAAACAGTTGTACTCATCAACCCTCGAACTCTGAGTGTGAGGCACCGGTGCTGGTGGGGGGTTTCCACAGACAGCCCCGTCCTGTTGCCAGTTTGTACTTTATTTTTTATCTCTGATCTGCCCCAGCAGCCACCGCCACGCTCTTAGATCAAAGCACTGGCTCAGACTGGAGGGTGGCCAGGCTGTCAGGGGGGACATGGAGGAGCCCCAAGGTCAGGACACCACCTCATTTGGCAGCTTAAAGCAGCCCAAGGAGATGGCAGTTGTGTCACTTGTGGTGCAGAGATGATGGGAAAGCTTACTCAGATGTGCTTGGGGAGCATTTCCACACGTCTTGTCAGATTTTTTCCAGGCAGTTCTCCGAGATTTATATTTTTAGCCATTATAAATATTTGCCATGATTTTTTCTTTCAATAACCCTACGGAAAAAAAAAAAAAAAAAAAAAAAAAGAAGATTCGTATGTAAATAAAATTCCATAAACTGTTCAAGGATATGAAGAACCACTTAAGAAATATAAGCCATATTTGCATTTGAAGAAACTAGTTTAGTGGGTTTGTTTATTATATAGCTATAAAATACATCATCAGCGGCTGATTGCAATTTCGGTGATTTCTGTCACCAGCTGGTTTCGCTGGAAGAGATTGGTCTCTGCTGCTGACTCACCCCAAAGGTGAGGGGAGACAAAGCAGCATTTGCCAAAGCAGCAGGAGAAAAATACCTTATAGAGGTAACACCACCAGCCCGGGGTTGATGGCATAAACAGAGAGAGGCACAGGCACCTGCAAAACCTTACTTTGCTTTAAAAATCACTCTGCCAATAGACATGGAGCTTGTGGGACCCCAACCCCCACAGCCAGAGCACTGCTCAGGGGGACTGGTGGGACCCCAATGCTTCTCACACCCCAGGCCGGGGCTGGGGACAGATGTGCCGGGGTCACCTGGGAGGGAACCCAGGGCTCTGCTTCCCTTTTATGGCAGAATTACTCCTTTTCTTGTCTGCTCGGCCATTTAGCTCTTCTCTCAATTCAGTAGTTAATATTCTCCCTCCCTCCTTTCCTTCCTCCCTTCCTTTTTTCATTCTTTCCCTTTTCCTCCTTTTCTTCCTCTTGTTCTTTCTCTTTTTCCTCATTTTCTCTTTTTCATCTTTCTTTTTTCTTTCCTTTTCTGTTTCTTCTCTTTCCTTTTCCTTTTTTTTCCTCTTCCTTTATCTTTCCCTTTCTCCCTCTCCCCCTTTCCATTTCCCTTATCCTTTCCTTTTCTCCCCTTTCCTTTTCCCCCTTTTTTCCCTTTCCCCCTTCTCTCTCGTTTTCTCCTTTTCCCTTTTTTCCTTTTCCTTTTCCTTCTCCTTTTCCCCTTTTCCTTTTGTCCTTTTCCTTTTCTCCTTTTTTCCTTTTTCCTTTTCTCCTTCTCCTTCTCCTTTTCTCCTTTTCCTTTTCCTTTTTTCCCTTTTCCTTTTCTCCTTTTCCTTTTCTCCTTTTCTCCTTTTCCTTTTCCTTTTCCTTTTCCTTTTCCTTTTCTCCTTTTCTCCTTTTCTCCTTTTCCTTTCCTTTCCCTTTTCCTTTTTTCCCTTTTCCTTCTCCTTCTCCTTTTCTCCTTTTCCTTTTCTCCTTTTCCTTTTTTCCTTTTTTCAGGGACACATATAGTGTCTTAAAGTGTTCAGCAGGATTTTGATGATAGTAAAACTGATAAATAAGAGTTCTGGCCTTAGACTGTTATACACCCAGTGACCCTCAAACTTTATCTAATGCAGTTTTGATTAGTGCTGTTTAGGAAACTACATTGCAACAGTTCAAACTGTTTGTTTCAGTGTAAATACTGGGCTGTTGACAGTGCAGACAACACATGGTAAGTGTGCCAAGCCTGGGCAGACTTGAAGTGTCGAAGCCAGATGATTCCCTGTGCCCTGATGCTCATGGAATTTGTGATCTTTCCTAGTGCCTGTTTCCTCTGCCTCGTCGTGTGACCAAGGACGGGTGCTGCTGTCTCTCCTCTTCTGCAAATGGCTCCACTTGCTCATTTTTCCCTCCCAGGGAGAAGTGATTAACAGTCACTCTCTTGGTCACTGCTCCTTGTGACCCTGATAAAGCTTTGACTCAATGTTACTTTTATCTGTGGGTCAGGTGATGCTGGGATACTCCTGTGTCCTTGGAGCAAGGCAGGAGCAGGGTTTGCTACATTTTCACAGCTTTTCCATGGGGCTGAGTGCGGAGGGATGAATTCTGGGCACAGAAGTTTTGGGTAGTGCTCACACTTGAGCTGCTGATGTTTAAGACATGAGCCTTCTGATGAGCTGGCTGTGGCCTTCTATCAATCCTGAAGTTAAGCCAGGATAACCCAAGAGTGGGAGGAGTTTGGCTAAGGTGAAATTCCACCTTTTACAGCGTGATGCACTGACCTTTTCTTGGAGACAGGAAAGGTATTGTAAGGTTTCCTTTTAGCAGTGTGCCAAAAAATACTGCAGAAGCTCTGCTGATCAGCTTTTGAGCACGAGAGGCACTTGTTTTGGTAAGTCCAGGCTTTGCCATGGGCTGTTCCAGTGCCATGGAGCAGGATGCTTCTGTGGTTAAAAAAAAAAAAAGCCTAGAAGTTGAGGATTGATACTAAGGTCTTCTCACCGCTTGTTGGATGTAAATTGCGGTGGCATCATCTTTATCACAAGTTACAGACGTTCTTATCCCTGCTTTTTAAAGATCTTGCAACTGCATTTTTCTTAGCTTAAAATGTCAACTCTGTGAGTGTTTCTGTTGGCATCCAAATTGTCCCTGGGTGTAAGCTTGCAGTGAATTTCTGTGACAGATGAGAAAATGGCAATATCATATATCATAATGTTGCCTCAGGTGCTTTGCACGTAGCAGCAAAAAAAACGCTGGCCATGCAATTAAAAATCTTCTTGTAGAGTTCATAATAAACAAAGTGGTACAGAGCTGGGCCTGAAATCTGCAAATCCAAAACTGGTGATAGGAATGAAACTTGAAAAACTTTATGTAGGATATTTCTGATGTTCTGAGGAAGTACCTGACTTGTGGCTTGTTTTCTTTCAGCTTATAAAACTGTCTCGGGTGTGAATGGCCCCCTGGTTATCTTGGATCAAGTTAAGGTAAAGTTTCATATTTTAATGAATGAAGCCTTTTTTGAGGGAGAGTTTGTAAGAAAAGCTGTGACAGGTTAAATCCAGACTGTTGTGAAATCCATGGGTCCACTGAGCAATTTTAGTGCAAGATATGTTTTTGGATGTTGAGATAAATGAAAATATGCAAGTTGCTGCAAAGCTGAGGAGAGTTGGGGGAAAGAGAGGAAACATTGTTTCAGTTTTACCAAAAATCCCCCAGAATGTTGTCTAAACTTGAATGTGGAAATGTACATAATCACTTTCTTCTTGACCTTTTTGTTACCAAAGTGTGAGTGCTCTGTAAAGGGAAACTGTAAACAGTTTTGGTGTGTTTTCTAGTTACCAGCAAGCTACTGTTGAAGGGAAACAACTGATGGCAGAAGCAGCTACAGGCAAAAGCCAGCTTTTTCTTGTGTGGGACACTGCATCGTGGCTTTCTGTTAGTGTGGCAGGACTGTAGAGGTTTTTAGAAGAGATTCTGTTGGGTTTTTCTGCAGCCTGTAGCTCCGAGTGAGGACTCTACATAGGCCCTGTGAAAATGGCTTTAGCCTGGTAAAATTTAATTATCTTGGGATGGGTTTTGTTCTGATGATAAAATTAATTTTTTAAAAAATTTAGTAGTTAAGCATAAGCTGGCTTGAAACTGATAATGTTAGTTTCTTCTGGATTTTAATGTTTTCCACCCTCTTTCTTCCTCATCTCCAGTTTCCCAGGTACGCAGAGATTGTCCACTTGACCCTTCCTGATGGCACAAGGAGGAGCGGGCAGGTCCTGGAAGTCAGTGGCTCCAAAGCTGTGGTTCAGGTGCGATTAAGGCCAGGAGTGTCTCTTGTTGCAACAGAAAAGCACTTTATTAATCAGTATCTGTCTGAGCTGTGTGAGATCTGTCTTGTCTTATGCTCTTTTGGCACTGCAAATTAAACAAAAAATCACCTACTTATTCCAAGTGCAAGTGGCATGAGTAATTTTAGAAGATTGAAGCCTGGAGTGCAGTGAGGTTTTTTTATTTGCATCCCCCCCGATTTCTTTGCTGCTACATTAAAGGAATCACACTGTAATTGTACGGTATTAGATTCAAAATCAGCTCCTTTGCTGTGTGGCTGTAGGTATTTCTTCTAAGCAGCTGTTTCTTGTTAATATTAATTTTTGTTATCTGAAGAACTTTACCCCGTTAGCAGAGGGAATTACTTGAGATCAAAGGAACGGCACCGGGTTTGTTGGTTGCTGCTGTTACACCTCATGAATTTTGTTTAAAGTGGGTTTTTATGTGCTGTTTTGTACTCGCGAGCAGCTCTTGAAATCCTTTGCTTGCAGAGGATGGCCTTGCTTTTCTGCCCTGTGGCTGAGCGAGTTCTCCAGCTGTGAAGCAGCATTCTCTTGTGTTAATTTGTAAAGCACAATACTTAGTCCTTTCTCCTGCGTTTTCTGGTATTTTTACAGGTGTTTGAAGGAACTTCAGGTATTGATGCGAAGAAAACGTCTTGTGAGTTTACGGGGGATATTCTTCGAACCCCTGTCTCTGAGGATATGCTTGGTAAGTGCTTGCATCTTGCTTTGAGAACTGATAGAGTTATCCCACACTAATGTATTTTCACAGTAACTTACATTTTGATTGCTGTTTCTTGTAGGCAGAGTATTTAATGGATCAGGAAAACCTATAGACAGAGGCCCCATTGTCTTGGCTGAAGATTTCCTTGACATAATGGGTATGTTCTTAATCTGTTTCTGGTACGGAAGTAAAAACACAAATCTGGTATTTCTGAATGTTTCCACAGTTTTAGTTTTGAACACAGGATCTAACTGTTAGCGGGGTTTTAGTCTTATTTTTAAGTGTTTGCAGCATCAAACTCAAATTAAATTTACACAAGTGCAGGATGATGAGGTGGCAGAAAAATAACTGTTTTCAGTAATGCTTGGAAGCTGTTCTTTGAAGTATTTGTAGACTGTCTTAATTATACAGCCTCCAGAGGTAAAAAGCTAATAACCTGATAGGCTCTTCTTGAAAGTGCTCTTAGCATTTACATGATCATAGAATGAGAGTCTTGGGATCTAGGAAAGGCTCAGGGTTGACCAGGTGCATCTAAAGATTTATAAGTCCAACAGTGGGGTTTGTACCTTTTGATATGAGCCTTAGACTAGTGCTCAAGGTCAGTGGTAGCTTGATCAAGCTTCAGACATCTTAATGTTTTTTTTTTTTTTAAGAGAATGCATGTTATTTCATGTACAGGTCAGCCCATCAATCCCCAGTGTCGTATCTACCCAGAAGAAATGATTCAAACTGGCATTTCTGCTATAGATGGCATGAACAGCATTGCCAGGGGGCAGAAAATCCCCATATTCTCAGCTGCTGGCTTGCCCCACAATGAGGTGAGTGCTCAAAGCTACTCTAAACAGCAGCTTGCATTTCACTGGGGTTAAAGAGTAAACTAAGATAAATTCTGGTCTGTGTAAAAGCATCAAATATTCAGCTGGACTGAAACTCTCTTTTCCCTAGATTGCAGCCCAGATCTGTCGCCAAGCTGGCTTGGTGAAGAAATCCAAAGATGTGATGGACTACAGCGAAGAAAACTTCGCCATCGTGTTTGCTGCTATGGGTGTAAGTCAATAGCAATAAATAATAAATAAGACAACGCTGAGAGTAGCTGAACACTACTTTTTTTGAAAGTATTCTCTGTAAGTCTTGCGTATATAACTAAACAGTGCTAACTTGGCTGGTGGAATGGCTGAAAATCCCAAATGGCCAGAAGTGCTGTGTCTGATCAGGACAAAGTATCTGCAACTTAATATTTCTGCCCTGGAATTCTAGTAATTCCTCATTCCTTTGGGTAGGTGAGGGAGGTCTTCATGATACAGAGAGCTTTGGATTATTAATGAGGAGTTTAGACCTTGATATGATGCAAAGTGAGAACGCTAAAGTCTGGTTGGGCACTGATACCTTAATATTCTGATTTAGGTGAACATGGAAACGGCTCGGTTCTTCAAATCAGACTTTGAGGAAAATGGGTCCATGGACAACGTGTGTCTGTTCCTGAACTTGGCCAACGATCCGACGTAAGTAGTTACACTGTTGGGGGTTGGGGGAAGGCTGAGAAGAACAAGCCTTTCTGGTGTCCTGCCAGATGTCACTTCTGTTGGTGTTTTGCAGCAAGGTTGAACTATGAGCTGCTGGCACTCTGGTTGGTGCACAGAGCAGGTTTTCTGAGGATTTAAGTATTTGTATCTTCGGACTGTTACCTCAAAGCACTTGTCATAAACGATGCCCTGCTGTTCCCTTTCAGCATCGAACGCATTATCACTCCTCGTCTGGCTCTGACAACAGCTGAGTTCTTGGCATATCAGTGTGAGAAGCACGTGTTGGTCATTCTGACAGACATGAGCTCCTATGCTGAAGCTCTGCGAGAGGTAGGTGTTTATTAACTCATGTGCTGGGTGTTAAAGAAGGGGTTTCTACTGTAAAGTGAGTGTAAACATCTGCTAAAGCTGTTACAAATAGTATTCATTACAATTATTAAGTACCCAGTGAGGGTTTTGGTTACTCGTTGATAGTCTATGATTATGTTCAGCAATCAAAAAACCACTGCTTTTATCACTCCTCGTCTGGCTCTGACAACAGCTGAGTTCTTGGCATATCAGTGTGAGAAGCACGTGTTGGTCATTCTGACAGACATGAGCTCCTATGCTGAAGCTCTGCGAGAGGTACGTGTTAATTAACTCGTGTGCTGAGGGCTCAAGAAAGGGCTCAAGAAAGGGCTCAAGAAAGGGCTCAAGAAAGGGCTCAAGAAAGGGCTCAAGAAAGGGCTCAAGAAAGGGCTCAAGAAAGGGCTCAAGAAAGGGCTCAAGAAAGGGCTCAAGAAAGGGCTCAAGAAAGGGCTCAAGAAAGGGCTCAAGAAAGGGCTCAAGAAAGGGCTCAAGAAAGGGCTCAAGAAAGGGCTCAAGAAAGGGCTCAAGAAAGGGCTCAAGAAAGGGCTCAAGAAAGGGCTCAAGAAAGGGCTCAAGAAAGGGCTCAAGAAAGGGCTCAAGAAAGGGCTCAAGAAAGGGCTCAAGAAAGGGCTCAAGAAAGGGCTCAAGAAAGGGCTCAAGAAAGGGCTCAAGAAAGGGCTCAAGAAAGGGCTCAAGAAAGGGCTCAAGAAAGGGCTCAAGAAAGGGCTCAAGAAAGGGCTCAAGGCGTGAACTTCTGCTAAAGCTGTTACAATTAGTATTCATTCCAATTATTAAATACCCAGTGAGGGTTTTGGTTACTCATTGATAGTCTATGATTATGTTCAGCAGTCAAAAAACCACTGCTCCAGTGATAGCTGAACTTATTTGACTAGTGGTTTGATATCAGTGTCTCATTTGCCTTGGCATCTTGTCCATCAGACACGGTTGTGGGGACACATTTCCCTTAGTAGGGTTTTGTGTGGCTGTATTTTGGTATCGCCTGCAGGAAGAAGTAACTTCCAGCCACTTGTGTAGCTTAATTAGGGGGAGATGGTGGGTCTGTGTGAGGGATCTGATTTCTTGGGTATGTTTTTCTGGGTTGCCCCAGGTTTCTGCAGCTAGAGAGGAGGTGCCTGGTCGCCGTGGGTTCCCAGGTTACATGTACACGGACTTGGCTACTATCTACGAGCGCGCTGGGCGTGTGGAAGGCAGAAATGGTTCCATTACTCAGATTCCTATTCTTACCATGCCCAATGATGGTGAGTTATTTTCAAGTGTGTTTAATAAATAAAGCACTTTCAGGGACTCCTTTGGAGCAACCTGCCTTGTCTTGAGCACACAGCAAGATCAGGAGGTCCTTTGGCCTTTATGTTTCTATTTGAATATTGCAGTTCTTGGGCTGCCTTCTCTGTGTTGCTAATAGAAATGCTTTGCCCATTTCAGGCTTCAGGACTCTTTTCCACCCTTTATCAGGAGTGCTCACAGCTCTAATCCTTGCATAAGAGCACTTAGTGATACACACCAACATTTTACTCTAGAAGTCACAGCAAAAGGCTGCTACCTCAGTGCTAGAATGGATATAAAAGGTCTGAAAACTGTCAACCATTTTTTTTCCACAGATATTACTCATCCTATCCCTGACTTGACTGGATACATCACTGAAGGACAAATCTACGTGGACAGGCAGCTGCATAACAGACAGGTGTGTGCCTCCCCCTCTTTAGAACATATTTAAGATTACTCTATCCATTTTGAAATACTGATGTTGGAATCTGTGGATGTCTTTTCCCTCTAGATTTACCCACCTATTAATGTCTTGCCCTCCTTGTCTCGACTGATGAAGTCAGCCATTGGAGAGGGAATGACCAGGAAGGATCATGCAGATGTATCCAACCAACTGGTATGTAAAAAAAGCCTGGTCAGAGAAGCAGAGTTGTACTTCAAATATTCCTCTCACCAAACAGTTGTGATCCAGAAAGCTCCTGAAGCTGCTTTAAAGCACCAACAGTGTTTAGTGAGACCCTTTGGGTTTGAACAGAAATCATTATGTGGGGGATCAAGATAAAAGCACTGCTGTTTCTCTCCCTCCTAGTACGCCTGCTACGCTATCGGGAAGGACGTGCAGGCCATGAAGGCTGTCGTTGGTGAGGAAGCTCTTACCTCTGATGATCTTCTGTATCTGGAGTTTCTGCAGAAGTTTGAGAAGAACTTCATTGCTCAGGGTGAGTGTTCTGAGAACGTCACCGGATGCTTTAACACCTCCCAGGTCTTGTTCCCGGATCTGCCTGGTGGGAAGATGCTTGGGAAGATGCTTTCCTGCCCCATATTTCAGTCTGTGGTGGTTTTTCTCCAGGTCCTTACGAAAACCGCACTGTTTATGAGACCTTGGACATCGGGTGGCAGCTTTTGCGGATCTTCCCCAAGGAGATGCTGAAGAGAATCCCTCAGACCACGCTGGCCGAGTTCTACCCTCGAGATTCCACAGCGAAACACTAACCACAGCTCCATCTCCAACTCCTTGCTCTGTGAAATGCTGTTCATTTTCTTTTTTTTTCCATGTGTTGGTGTTTACTTGTCGCCCTTACAATTAAAACCCACCAAGAATAGGTGACATTTGTGCCAGTGTTCCAGTGCACACTGATACCAGTTTTTAAAATATCCCTTCTTCCAAAGCCTGGATCTTCAGGAAAATACTTAGGCCAGCTCTTACAAATGTGCAATAGCTATCGCGAAGCTTGTTCTTTGAACTGGACTCTTTGTAGACATTTCAAGGGGAATGTCAGAGGATTATCAGAAATTGCAAATCTTTACTTTGAAACCAGGAACCCCACGTGGTTTAGAAAATGTTGAAAGAGCACAAATGTGACTTCCTTTGTCCAAAGCATCTGCTGGGTGCGAGGGTAGGCGGTTGCCGTGCTGCTGGTGGAACAGATGGCACTTGGCTCTCCTGCCTGAAGACCAGGCTGCTCTGTGGAAAGCACGGTGCGTGGCAACGTACCTTTCTTAAAAACGCCAGACACTGATTATATTTTTTAACTCTGGCTTAAGATTCTTAAAGGTACATGTGAACTGAGAACACTATCAGGCACAGTAGGGGCTTTTCAGAGTTTTCAGAGGTCACAGGCCAGTGCGTTGCTACCTCAACGCAGCATGATAAGGCTTAATTACTGAATTGAAGGTTTCAAATTGGAATTTGCAGACTAAGTTTCCTACTTACCCTTTCTCTTTTTTTTTTTTTTCCTTTGAATTCTGGAAATGCCAGAGACACACGAGCAGCTAAAGCGTTCCCAGATCAGTAGAGTCCCAGCGGGGAAAACTGTAGGTAATTCAAGGCTTTTGCTGCTACTGAAGGGGATTGAGATGTGGAAAAAAAAAAAGAAGCCACCTTATACCTGACACAGTTGTACTGGTGGGAGACCAGCTTTGAAAGTCTGGCTTGTACCAAATGATGCAACAGGAGAAAAAGCAGCTGAATGTGTGAATGGATATTTTGAATTCTGTTATAAATCGCGCTCCGGGCGGCACTGGGTCCCCAGCCCTGTCTGCAAGTGGTGTGGTTCACACTCCAGGCACAGGTTTGGCCAGCCAGGAGAGCTCAGCATTCCCAAACACCCCAAACTTGGCTGGTCCATTCAGTGTTGGGTTTGGGTTGTTTTTTTTTTACCCCCCCCAGAATTGGCTGAGATGAGGCTCGGAGCCCAGTGCTGGCAGGCTTTCTGCTTTTTTTTTCCAGGCTTAATGTAGTCTAAGCTCTGGTCTAGCTACCCAAAGCATGTTGCACCTCTCTGAACGCCTCCAGTGCTTGTCTGGGAAGGTGCTAACATGACTGGGATGATAAGTGTACTAATTCCAGCTTGCCCTGACGTCTCCTGTGTGCAGTTCTCTCTCTGGTTTGTTCAGTGTTCCCTGTAACTTGGACGCAATAGCAACTTTATCCCAGTGCATTCCACCCTAAAGCTGTGTCAAGTCTATTTTTCTTGAGGTTAGGGACGGGGAGGTTGGAAGTGTTGGCATGAGAATACTTTAATGTAGAGAATATCTAAATAAATTAAATATGGAAGGTGTTGAAAAAAAAAAAAGGCAGTCTTTGTGATTCTGTGGTTTAAAAACAATCTCGGGGTCTTTCAGTGGTGGCTGCGGTGTCCTTTGGGATCCCCTTTACCTGAATGAAATACTTTTTACCTCCATTTCTGTGCACAGCAAGGGCCACTTGAGCCACCCCCACACTATTTACTCGCGTCGGTGGGTTTTGATGAGGAGGATTTGGCCTTCAGCTTCAGGCCTGGAATGCTTGGTGCTGCTGGAGGGGGTGGGAGGGGCAGTCACGGGTCCAGGCTCTGCAGGAATGTTGGGGAAGGTGACACCCCAGGGGTCTCAGGGGACACTTTGCACCAGAGGAGGGTTGGGAGACCTTAAAAGGCTGCTTGAAAACGAGCTTAGAAACATGTTGGCTTTAAGTTTTCATATGAACAGCACTATTAAAGGTGAGGGGGGGCCTGGGTAGGTTTATTCAGGTGTTCCCCAGGGGTGACTCTGCTTAAATCCCTGGTGTTGGTCCCTCTCTGTGAACTCTCCCGGGGGTTTGCAGTGTGGGCTGGTGAAGGTGAGGGACCAAAACTGGTGTGAAATGGGGAGATCTGGGTTCTTCCTGACCCGTTCCAGGGAGCTAGAGGTAAACCCCAACACACCTTCATTTTCTGAACAAGGTGCGTGTCAAACCCCAGCCCCTTTGAGGGGGAAAAAAAGCCCCTTTCTGCTGATTTTGCTGTTCTTTAAAAGAGCAGAGCCTGCTGTGCTGAGCTGCACCCACACTGTCTCCCCAGAGTTTGATAAAAGCCTGAGGATGTCTCAGATCTTCTTCTATTAAATGTTCTACTGAGCTATAATTTGAGCTGTTTCTTATAAAGAAGTACAAGTCCTTGAGGTGGGACCAAAACTGGTGTGAAATGGGGAGATCTGGGTTCTTCCTGACCCGTTCCAGGGAGCTAGAGGTAAACCCCAACACACCTTCATTTTCTGAACAAGGTGCGTGTCAAACCCCAGCCCCTTTGAGGGGGAAAAAAAGCCCCTTTCTGCTGATTTTGCTGTTCTTTAAAAGAGCAGAGCCTGCTGTGCTGAGCTGCACCCACACTGTCTCCCCAGAGTTTGATAAAAGCCTGAGGATGTCTCAGATCTTCTTCTATTAAATGTTCTACTGAGCTATAATTTGAGCTGTTTCTTATAAAGAAGTACAAGTCCTTGAGGTAGACAAAGACATTAGCTCACTTTTTTTTTCTTTTAGAAAAAAAACCCTCATTTAAATATGTCCCAGCTGGCTCCTGCAGTATATTTTTCACCAGGAGAGACACTAAGGATTAGTGACGGCTTTGATTGTCCCACCGAGCTTGAAAGACTCTTACTTAATGTGGCAGAAGGAGGACCTGGAATGCTAAAAACATGTCTGATGGCTTATAAAAAAAAAAAATAAATGTTGGGGCAAGTGCTTTTGGCTTTTTCTATCCATTCACCCCCAGAGTCACTGTCTGGAGGGAGCCTGTGGCTGGGGCATGGGAGTAGGTATGAGCAGATGGTGGCCGTAGGAGGGCAGTGACACAGGTTCTGAAAACATGAGTAGGAGGAGAAGTTCCAAAGTCCAGTGAATTCCTGAAATCCCTCAGCAGGTGACTGGTTTTTGGGGACAAAGGTTGGGCAAGTGCTGTGGAGCGTGGTGGGTACCTGTGAGCATCAGCCTATGGACACCATGACTCCCAAATGGTGCGTGTTAGAGCGAAGGGAAAGGAGTTCTGCACTTCTGAGGAGAAGGATCTCCTCACACGGGGTGTCAAGTGAAGAGTAGAAGAAGCCAGAGCATCCCGGAGTTGGGTTTCACCTAAAACAGGGGGAGAAAAAAGAAGGATCTGGGGGTCCTGGTGGAGAGTAAACTCTCCAGGAGCCAGCAATGGGCCCTTGTGGCCAAGAGGCCAATGGGATCCTGGGCTGCGTAGGGCAGAGTGTGGCCAGGAGGTGGAGGGAGGTCATTGTCCCCCTCTGCTCTGCACTGGGGAGGCCACAACTGGAATCCTGCCTCCAGTTCTGGGCTCCCCAGTTCCAGAGAGACTGGGAACTGCTGGAGAGAGTCCAGCAAAGGGCAACCAAGATGCTGCTGGAGGGATTGGAGCATCTCCCTGGTGAGGAAAGGCTGAGAGAGCTGGGACTCTTGAGGCTGGAGAAGAGAAGGCTGAGGGGAGACCTTCTTCATGCTCCCAAGGATCTCAAGGGTGGGTTGAAGGAGGATGGAGCCGGACTCTTCCGTGGTTGCCAGGGACAGGCCGAGGGGCAACGGGGACAAGCTGGAGCAGGGGAAGGTCCACTGCAATGGGAGGAAGAAGTTGTTTGGGGTGAGGGTGGCAGAGCCCTGGCAGAGGCTGCCCAGGGAGGGTGTGGAGTCCCCTTCTCTGGAGATCTTCAAGCCCCCCCTGGATGCTCCTGAGTGATGTGCTGTGGGCAGCCCTGCTTTGGCAGGGGGTTGGACTGGATGGGCTCTAGAAAGTCCCTTCCAACTCCAACGATTCTGTGAATTACAAGTTTAATTCTGCAATTAAACTCTACTAATTCACAGCTGATAGGGGCAAAGGGGAAAAAAAATGAGGTGTATCCAGTGTCTCAGGGCAGGCTGGTGAGGGAAGCCATCAATTATGGCTCATCCGGGGCAGACAAAGGTTTTGGGTGAATATAAATTTAAGGGGGGGGTAGTTTGTGCTGGGGAGAAAATAACCATTTTCAGCAGCACAGGAGAGACCGGGCTGTGGTGGGTGGGATGTGGGGGGGATGTGGGGCAGGAGGGGATGTGGGGCAGGAGGGGATGTGGTGGACACGGTGCGGGATGGAGCGTGGCAGCCACGCAGCGGCACTGTGCGCCCGGCCGGCGGCGTGTGGAGCAGGGATGGAGGGAGCTGCCACACGTCAGCTCCCCAGCCAGCCCTGCTGCTGCAGTCGGGAAGGACAGGGCTGTTTCACATCCTCTTATCACCTGGAAATAATGTATTATTTTTTTTTCCAGTTAAATATTTAGGCAGCAGCACAAGAACTGCTTCAGAGATGATCAGAGCTGCAGGGATGCTTCTTAGCTCACTCTGATGCCACAAAATGTTCTGAGGTTTTTTTTTTTGCAGGGGACAGTGGGATGGGGCAGGTTCTGGTTTGGGTGGGATTGGGGTGGGATGGGGCAGGTTCTGGTTTGGGTGGGATAGGGCAGATTCTGGTTTGTTTGGCTTTGTGGGATGAAGCAGAAGGTTGAGCGTATCGGCAGAGAACCTGTGAGGCTCTTTGGCTCCTTTCTGGGGGAGTTAATTCAGTTTTCCTTGCAGTTTAAACCCCTAGGACTGCCAGTTTAATGTATGTCTGGCAAGGATTTGGTGGCAGCACCCAGCTCTGACCTGTCCCCTCCGGTCCCTGGCTGTGCTGCCTGTGCCACGCTGCTCCTCTGGTGAGATGACAGGGCACACCTGAGCCTGCTCCCCTCTGAGCGGCACTGTGCGCCCGGCCGGCGGCGTGTGGAGCAGGGATGGAGGGAGCTGCCACACGTCAGCTCCCCAGCCAGCCCTGCTGCTGCAGTCGGGAAGGACAGGGCTGTTTCACATCCTCTTATCACCTGGAAATAATGTATTATTTTTTTTTCCAGTTAAATATTTAGGCAGCAGCACAAGAACTGCTTCAGAGATGATCAGAGCTGCAGGGATGCTTCTTAGCTCACTCGGATGCCACAAAGTGTGCTGAGGGGTTTTTTTTGTGGGGGATGGTGGGATGGGGGTGGGATGGGGCAGGTTCTGGTTTGGGTGGGATAGGGCAGATTCTGGTTTGTTTGGCTTTGTGGGATGAAGCAGAAGGTTGAGCGTATCGGCAGAGAACCTGTGAGGCTCTTTGGCTCCTTTCTGGGGGAGTTAATTCAGTTTTCCTTGCAGTTTAAACCCCTAGGACTGCCAGTTTAATGTATGTCTGGCAAGGATTTGATGGCAGCACCCAGCTCTGACCTGTCCCCTCCGGTCCCTGGCTGTGCTGCCCGTGCCACGCTGCTCCTCTGGTGAGATGACGCCTGCTCCCCTCTGCCTCCGCAGAATTGGGCAGAAATCATAGAATAATAGAATGGTTTGGGTTGGAAGGGACCTTAAAGATCATCCAGTTCCAACACGTCCACCTCCCACCAGCCCAGGTTGCTCCAAGCCCCCTCCAACCTGCCCTTGAACCCCTCCAGGGATGGGGCAGCCACAGCTTCTCTGGGCAACCTGTTCCAGGCTCTCACCACCCTTGCAGGAAAGAATTTCTTTCTGGTATCCAAAATGCCTGTCTTCTATTTGGCTTCTGATATCCAAATCCCTCTCTTCCTCCTGTCTCATGTTCCCCGGCTGCTGGAGAAAACCCATCTGCCAACAGAGGACACAGGGTCACTGTCACCCTGCGTGCGGGCAGGTCCCTGGGTCACAGCAGAGCCTGTCCCAAGCCCAAAGCTGGCAGGTAGCTGAGCCTGAGCCTGGCACGCAGCCCTGGAAGGGAGAAAAGACAAAAATAGCTGTAGCTGCCGTCAGCCTGAGGCCCCAGGAGCAGGCTGGGGCTTGCAGCACAGCTATTTTAGTGAGAGTGGAGCCCTTCGCTGGGGAAAACGGGGTGGGAGAGCAAAGGGCTGGGGAGGAAGGGGTGCCCCTCTGCGTGGCATCGGGCCGGGCGGCGCGGTGAGCCCTGGGCATGGCGTTTAGCCGGATGCTGAACAAACAGCCCCATATTTCACGGCTCGGAGACAGCAGGTACCATGGTAAATGGGACGTGCTGATCTCCCAGCTGCTGCCGGAGCACATTTACACGCTGTTTTCTTTCCCCTTTTTTCCCCTTTTTTTTTTGGGCAATGACTAATGAGGGCTGCCTGGGGGTCTTATCCCCTTTTGCCAACTGATGTCAGGTCCCTGCGAGAAGCACACGCCAGCTGTCGGCTCATTGAGGAGGAAGAGGAGGGGGGGGAAGAGCAAACATTGGACACGTTCCCCCCCCCCAACACACACCCCCTGCCCCTTGGGTTTTGGGTTGGGGCTGGCAGATGTAAGGCGGGGGGAGCAGGCTGGTGGGGGGGGGGGGCTGATTATTTGCACATCAAAAGCAGCTTTGCCCCCGACCCTCCCTCACCCTGCGAGCAAGAGGTGGCTCCCTTTAATTGCTCTTTCAAAGGCGATCCCTGGTCTTGTCTCTGCTGAGATTTTTAGGTCTGACTCTGCCCCCCCCTTTCCCCCCCCTCTCCGTAGTAGCCAGAAACCGGTGGGGTGGTGGCACCCGGGTGTTAAAAAGAAGATGCAAATCAGCTTTTCTCCGTCTTGAAGCTTATTTGCATCCGCTGATTAGTTCAACAGCTAATTCAAACTCCTTCTGTCTGAGGGCGGTTGGCGCCCGGGCAGCTGGAGCAGAATTAGCCCAAAGCAGGGAGGAAGCAGGGACCCCAGTGACTTTGGGGGGGGGACACACATGAGCTGGTGCTGCTTCTCCTCTTTTGCCCCCCATCACACGAGCCAGGGGTCCCTCCCATGCTCTGCTGAGCTTGGGAGCCCCAGCACACACCAGTGCCATCCCATTTGTGTTCAACCTGCCACCAAGAAGCACTGGGTGCTCTGGGGGAATGGCTTTGCCCCGCTGTTATCAGGGCTTTTTGCTCCTTCCTCCTGGGGCAGCGGGGACCTGGCAGAGGCTGGTTCCTCCTGTTCAGCTTTCCCTGTGATCCCACAGCATCCCTGATGCTGAAGCTGGGTCTGTTTGAGCCCTGCTCCTGAAGTGGAACAGCCCTACAAGGGCTGGCTGGTGCCCCACTACTTAATTTCTGCCATCTGAGCCCCACTTGTGGGGAGGACACAGCTTTTTCTCAGTAGCTTCATTAAGGTTTTGGAGGAAAAGGGGTGGGACACTCACTTGCTTCAATGGAAGCAGCTGTCTACAGTGTCTACAGGGCTGGGGTTTTGGGTTCCCAATGTCCTGGGCACTGCTAAGAAGCTGTCCTTAGGGGGTGTGTGCCCCCAGGGATGCTACACTTGCTCCTGGACCTGCTCCTGCTCAGCCCTGGTAAGTCTCTGCTTTGCTGCATCATCTGCAATTGGGTTGTGACCTCTGTGGGACAGTGATGTCCCCTGGAATATCAGGGGAGTCTTCTCCTCGCTGTTCCCCTGACCCAGACCCATGGCCAAGCCTGGGAAGGGCTCGGAGGAGCTGGCAGCACCCACAGCCAGGGCAGGAGATGGTGGGAGGTGATTTCTAACAGAAGGTGCCTCTCAGGAGAAAGAGAGCCCTCTGCACGTGGTTTTCCACCATCTCCTTCCTCCTCGGCAGTTTTCAAAGGCTCTAAAAATAAGCTTTCCTCCCGCCTCGGGCAGCGTGAGCAAAGCCAAGATTTCCCTGGAAAGCGTCGGCGGGAGCCGGGTGCCCTTTTGGGGGGGCACGGAGCAGCTTGTGTATCACTTGGTCCCCCCCACCCCTCGCTGTGGTGGGGCACGTACCCTGTGGAAACAGCCAAAGGACTCAGGGTGAACTGTGTTTTCCTCAAATTGAGTGTTTCCCCCTATTTTCCGCCCCCCTCTTTATCTCCCCCTGTGCTGTTTTATCTCCCCCTGTGAAACCGCCAGACCTGCACAGTGCAAACAGGCTCCGAGTCCATCGATTCTGAAGGAAAACAGCTTAAACAGTCAAAACATCTCCTTGTCTTTTGTTGAGGTGTTTCCACTGCATTTCTCCTTCTGTAATTGTTTTCTCCGGCTCCGCCGCTGGCTGGGGGGGATGGACTTGCCCTCTCTGGGGATGGTGATGGCAGGGTCTGGGAGCTTTGGGCTGTGTGGGTCAGGATGAAAATCAGTCTCACCTGCAGAGCAGGGGGGCAGAGCCGGGGGGCAGGGGCTGGGAGCAGGGCCAGGAGGATAATCTCCTCCTCTCCACTCCCCCCTCCGTGTTTGCCCGAGGCCAAGTCTCTGCTTTTCCATGCATGGGTTATCCCAGCTGCAGAGCGGAGATAACGGGGCTGGAAACAACCAGGGCCAGGTGGAAAGATGTCCCCAAAGGGGACCTTGGTGCTCCGTGATAAATGGTTTGTGGTTTGGGGTTGATGTGAGAGGGGCACGGTGAAGCCCTGTCCTGCGTGGCCACCCGCCGGCGATGAAAACCACCCCAGGGAGTTTTTAAAAATTTATTTATAAATAAAAACATAAAATTACCAGTAGTTTACATCGGTCACCAGAAATAACATTCGGAAAAAACCTGCAGGAAAAAAAAAAACAAAAAAAATAGTTATCTGTACAGGCTGAAGCCCGGCCTCGGGCGGGAGCGACACAGCTGCGATGCGGGACGGTCACACACAGCATTGTGCAAAGGCAGCACGTCGATGCCTCCGGGCGATCACATCACGCAGCAATGGCTGGGAGGGGTGGGGGGGACACTGGGGTGATGGGGGACCAGGGATGGTGCCACCGAGGCTGGAACGGGAGCAGGGCTGGGGAGGGCTCTGCCCCCCTCCCTCAACACCCACCCCGGGGTGTGTTTGGCACTGGAAAGCTCCTGGTGGCCGTGTTCTGGCTCTGAGGTGGGGGGAAAAGGGGGGGGCAGAGCTCTCGGTGCAGGGTTATGGCTTGGATGATGCAGAAAATCCCTTCTGGTCCGGTGAGTCGGGTGCCATCCTTCATCCCTCATCCTTCAGGTCTCCAAAACATCCTTCAGTGGGGCTGGGCAAACCCTGGCTCACCTGAAATGGTCCCCAAACTACAGCTCCAGGGCTGGAACTGGGATCTGAGGTTGGCTTTTCTCCAGTGGACCATGGCTGAGGATGGGCTTTGTGCTGTGTGCCGGGACCGGCCGGGATGCCCCGGGGCTGGGGTGGGGGGGGAGCAGTGAGGAAGGCACAGACTGGTTTCCATGTGTCACCCGTGGGGTGAGGGATGCTGAATTCTGCTGTTTGTGCAAAGCTTGGAGCCCTTGGCCGAATTTTTGGTATGGGGTCATGCAAGATCCCCCCCCCACCCCTGCAACCCTGGGAAGGGGCTTCCCGGGCTGGTGCTAATGGGTAAACAAACACATTGCAGTAAAAAAACCATTGCACTGGCACAAAATAAGTGGTCCTGGCTGGAGATCTTCACCCTGGCAAGTTGGGTGCTGGCTGATGCCCTCCCAGCCTGAGATGTGGGGGGGACAGGAGAGTCACCCCTGGTGACCTGCAGTGGAGCATTGTTATCCGCTGGCAGCTGGAGGAAATTTTAAGGGCTGGGGTAGAAAATGAAGCAAAAGTGGTCGGTTTGGGTTTTTTTTTTAACCAGCTTGAGTTGCTGGGATCCCGTGGACGTAAGGGCACGGGAGGAGATAAGGCAGCTGGGGCTCCCAGAGGGAGGGTCGCACTGAGCAAGTGTGGGGCAAGGGGGCAAACACAACCCCTTTACCCCTCGATTCTTGGGGTCAGACTGTGGCTCGGAGATTTCTGTGAATTCTTCAATCTGGTTGCCCGTCTGGCAGCTGGAGAGAAGGGACCCCCAAGCCCTTGTTGGTCAGGGTGGGGGGCAGTGGGCTCACCATGGCTGGGAGGAGGGATGTGCCGGTGCGGTGGTGGCCGAGGGATGGGAGGGCTGTGAGGTGGGCTGTGCTCGTTAGTGAAAGGTGATTTCGGTGGGGGTGTTGGCTGTGACGAGGTGGGGGTGGTCCTTCCTGAGGCTCTACAGCAGCCGAAGGATGGGAGAAGTGGATGTGCAACCTGCGCTGTCGCAGGGGGTGGCTCCTCGGTCCCTGGAGATGGGGACCCAGCGGAGGAAGGTGAAGGAGATGTGGGAGCAGCACGGATCATCCTCCAGGCTGTGGACGGTGGGAAGGGCTGTGGTGTCCCTGTCCCCAGAGCTGTGCCATCACGGGGTCTCTCCAAGCCCGGAGTGAAGCATCCCCTGGGAGTTTTGCATCATCAAGAGGTTATTTCCTGAAGTCCTGTTCCCTGACCACCCCTGTCGCCGGCTTCTCAGTCCTACAAGGGGGCAGAAGGGACGCTGCCAAGGTGGCAACAGGGGCGAGGGGGAGCTGCTGGCACGTCACCATTGGCACGAGTTGCTTGTTCACCTCTGTAACGACGACAGGCGACGGAGGGCACCGCCACGGTGCCACGCGGGGAAGGGACAAAGGCTGGCAAGCTGGCCAGGCCACCAGCTCGGCTAATAAATACATGGCTCATCTGGACTGTACAAGGCATGGACCCAGCCGTGGGGCAGAGCTTCTCGCCTGGAAGAGACACCCGCCCCAGAGCTGCAGGGAGGAGAAGGCAGACCTGGCTCAGATCTCGGTGGCGATGATGTCCTCGTAGGGGACGTCGGCGCCGGGTATGTCCAGCTCAATGGGTTCCTTGCCGTCTTCCCCCGCGGCGAGCTGCTGGAGCATCTTCTCCAGGTTCTGGTTCCTCTTGTACATGTGCAGGTAGCTCTGCTGCAGCTGCTTCTGGTAGTGAATCACCTTCTCCTTCTCCTCCTTCCATGTCTGCCGCTCGTGCTGGAAGCTGGAGGTCATCTGCTCGTTGTTGTCCCGCTCAGCCTTCAGCTCTGCCCTCAGCCTCTCCACCTCTCCCTGCAGGGCTTGAGCATCGTCCACCACGGCGCAGGGCCTGGCCACCTCCCGGGCTTCGCTCAGCTGCTCCTTGAGGACGGCGAGCTCCGTCCTCAGGTCCACGATCTCCTGCTCCAGCAGGTTCACCTTCTCCCTCAGCAGCTCAGACTCGTTCTTCTTGCGCTGGAGCTCATTCTCACACACCTCCAGCTCCATGGCTTTGGTGCGCAGGGAGCCCTCCAGGTCCTGGGTCTTCATCTCCAGCCCTTCCATCTTCACCCTCACCTCCTTCAGCTGAGCCTTCAGGCTGAGGATCTCGGTGGTCTTGGTGTTGAGCTCTGTCTGGGACTCCTTCAGCTGCTGCTTCAGGAGGGAGATCTCCCCCGACTTCTGGCACACCTGCAGGGAGGGACACAGCACCTGAGTTAGGGATGGAATTTGGAAAAAGCCGGTAGAACCCACGGTACCTCATGGAAACCATGCTGGGAATAGCTGGGGCTTGGCATGCAGAGACCCCGTCCATGAAATCCCACCCAGAAGAATGCCCAGGAAGAGAGGGTGATGCCCTGGGCTCTTGGGGGGATACTAAGGTCTCCATGCATCAACATCCCAGCTGCTTGTGAACAGCCGTAAGGAATTAATGAGCTGACACTCCCTCAGCTGAGGTGTGGAAGAGGATGGTGTTGAGGAAGTGCTCAAGCCTCAGTACCCCGTCCAACGCGATGGCTCACGCGGTCAGTTAAACTGGCTGAGCTGGTTTCACCCAGCAGACACCCAACTGCACCCTGTAAAATTGCAGCTGGGAGTAAAGCACCTAAATCCAGCTGGAGCATCCCACTGGAGCCTAAAGTGTGGCTGGTAGAGCCCTCCCTGAGATGGCTGTTGGGGATTCAGCATCCAGCTGATGCTGGGACCGCTCTTGGTGGGACCCTGCGGCTGCAGTTGTGGTAGGTCTTGCGTGCAGCCTGGAAAAGTGGCTCCAAAATGCAAATAAACCAGAGATACTGAAAGCCCTATGAGAAATCCTTGCCTGCAAAGGGAGGGAAGGTGAAGCCCACGCTCCTCGAAGCGTGTTGGGCAACAGCTCTGCTTCTCCCATGAAATGTCCCTCAGGCGGGTGAGCAGGCTGGATTCTCAGCAGTTTAATGGTCTTGGGTCAGTGATGCCCAATCAGCAGGAAAATTAAGTTTAAGCGCAGAGTGGAAGGTTTTACTGCTCTCTAATAAATGAGGGTGGCAAGTCCAAGTAGTTCCTATTTACAGGTGGGAAGGCAGCTTTACTGCTCCTCTGGGGCAGCCTGAAACCCTGCGCTGGAGGCTGGGAACGTGAAGTTATTTTAATGACTGGGGTTTTTATGCAGTAGCTGGTTCCTTGTGGGATGTGAAGTGCTGAGGGGTTAAGAGGGGCAGTGAGTCACTCCATTCTAACTTGCGGAGCCTCCACGCGACAGACTAGGGCTCTCCTCGCCTTCAATATTTATCTCCTCCAGCCTGGGCTTACTGTGGGCACCATCTGCTCTGCTCGCACCTTCTGCAGGTACAGAAATGGAGCAGAGCTGCGTGGTTTATTGCTGGTGCTGGAGCTATCACCTTCTGTGTAGGCACTTGGCTTTCAGCGTGGACAGCCCGAGGCATCTCTTGGTGCCACTTACCTCCCACTGGGTCTCCTCCAGCGCTGGGGCGAAGCTGGTCTTCTCCTTCTCATAGGACCTCAGCTTGGTCTCCAGCAGGTTTTGCTCTTTCATGAGGTTCTCCAGCTCCTCCCGGAGCTGCTTCTTCTCCTGCTGCAGCTGGAACACCTGGAGGTGAAGGACCTGCTGCGTCCGCTGGGTTTTCTGCGAGGTTTGCTTGAGCTTGCTGTTGCATTTCTGCTTGAGGCCCTCCAGCTCTTCCTTGCAGCGCCGCTGCTTCTCTTCATAAGCCTGGCAGGAGCTGACTTCCTTCTCCTCGAAGCTCGACTGAAGCTCCTGCAGCTCTCCCTCCCTCTCCAGGAGCTTCTGCTCCAGCTCCTGGATGGTGGACTCGTCTGTGGAGATGGGCGAACGGATGCAAGTGGTCTTCTCGGCGGCATGGTGGTGGGGGACTTTGCCAGTGCTGAGGATCTTGTTGCCCCCGTCGGAGAAGGACATGGCCTTGAGGCTCATCATGTTGCTGTCCTGGATGATGGCGCACTGCAAGATGTTGTGGGCTGAGCCCCCGAAGCGGCTGATGGGTCCCATGGGGGTGACGAGGGGTTCGAGCTGGTAACTGCTGCTGGTGCTGTGGGTGGGGAGGCTGGACATGGAGTTCCTGCCGGAGTCGGACAGACCCCCTGAGTACAGCGCCGGCTTCAGCTCCTGCTCCTTGGTTTTTTCCAAGGGGTGCAGCTGCTGGGGGAGGTGACCCCCGTTCTCTGGGGAGGAGTGGAGGATGGCTCCGGACCGGGGCAGCACTGGTTTGAAGGCAGTGGGTCGTGCAGCCGGTTTCTCCGCACCCTGGGGAGAAGAGCAGAACCCATCAGCACATCTTCTGTTCTCCCCCATCCCTTCTGCCCCTGAGGATGAGACCCACACGGCAGGGGTGGCCCCAGCAAGGACTCAAAGCTCAGGAGGGTGCTGGTGACTAAATCTGCCTCTGCTGGGTTTGGGAATGAAGGGATATGGGTCATATCGCTGAGGGTGGGCAGGTACCCCCAGAACCTCCCCGTTGCCCCTTGGCACAAACCATCACCTCTGAGCCTTCTCCTGGACCAGGACAACCCTGCGGTAGGACCTGCACCCCCTTTGAGGCTGGATGTGGTCCACTGGGCACCCCCCACCACCACTTCTGGGACCACCATCTCCCCTACTAACCACTTCCAGCTGGCTGGGGAAGGCCATCAGCTTCTGCGGCGTGGGGGTCCCGAAGTCCATGCTGCTCGTCCCGGCTTGGCTGCCCAGCTCCCCTCCAGCAAGAGAGGTATAGTCCGCGCGGTGGGAGCCAGGAGCCTTCTGGCTGACCTTGATGTAAAAGAAGTCCTCATTCTTGCTGCTTTTGGAGCTGGATTTGTGGCTGGAGTCCTGGGAGAAGCCGAAGCGGAGCAGCCCGTCCGAGTAGCGGTTGAGCTTCTTCAGGTGGGACGACTTGCGGAGCTTGTACTGGGAGGCTCGGCAGTGCTTGCTGTGGAAGCTGTGGCCAGAGATGAGGCTACTGACGCTGCCCATGCTGGTCCCAGGCCGGGGGGCATGCAGTGGGGGGAGCAGAGCCCGGGTCAACCGTGGGGTGAGGGGTCCGGGCAGCGGATGGAGCCGGTCACCGCTGAGATCATAGCAAAGACCTCACTGCACCCGGGAGCTGTGAGCCTGGGGGAGGCAAAGAGAGCAGGGTGAGGAAGGGACATTGAGGGGATGGAGAGTGTCCAGAGAAGAGCGATGGAGCTGGTGAGGGGTCTGGAGAACAAGTCTTATGGGGAAGACTGGTGAGGGGTCTGGAGCACAAGTATTATGGGGAGGACTGGGGGAGCTGGGGGGATTCAGCCTGGAGACAAGGAGGCTGAGGGGAGACCTTCTCACTCTCTCCAACTCCCTGAAAGGAGGGTGTAGCCAGGGGAGGTCGGTCTCTTCTCCCAAGGAACAGATGATGGGACAAGAGGAAATGGCCTCAAGTTTCCTCAGGGGAGGCTCAGATTGGATATTGGGGAACATTTTTTACACGGGTTATCTTATTTTTATCAAGGGTTATCAGGCATTGGAATGGGCTGCCCAGGGAGGTGGTTGAGGCACCATCCCTGGAGGTGTTCAAAAGACGGGTTGATGTAGTGCTGGGAGGTCTGGTTTAGTGATGATGCTCCTTGTTTGTTGTGTGGGTGTCTATTTTTGTCAGTTAGGTTGACGGTTGGACAAGATGATCTTTAAGGTCCCTTCCAACCTAGAAGATTCTGTGATTCTTAAGGCTTGGAATGGGCTGGCCAGGGAAGTGGTTGAGGCCCCATCCCTGGAAATACTTCAGAGATGGGTACACACAGTGCTTAGAGATAAGGTTTTGTGCTGCTTTTTGTCACTGTTGCATTTTTGATGGTTGGACTCGACCAGAGATGGGTACACACAGTGCTTAGAGATAGGTTTTTGTGCTGCTTTTTGTCAGTGTTGCATTTTTGATGGTTGGACTCGATGATCTGCAAGGTCCCTCCCAACCTTGGCAACCCTATGCTTCCCCATCCCAAAGCCCCCGTGAAGGAGGGTGGCAGCCAAGGCAGGCAGGGAATGGCAGGGCTTTCCTCTCTGCCTGGGGACGGCTCCAGGAGCCTCCCACCACCTGCATGTGTCTCCCAGCCTGGCTGGCACCCGCCGTGGCACAGCTCCCGGCCCACTGACTACATCCCCGTGCCCAGGGGCTCATCAGAAGCTGCTGGGTACAGTGGACCTCTTCCAACAAGCACCCATGCTGTGCTGGATGAATCCCTTCTCCTGGCAGCCCCTCTCGGTGCTGGGAGACGCGGCCACAACCTCTCCCGCATCAGCCTGTCACTCCCTGATTTCTCTCCAATTTTCCCCGCTCCTCTTAACCCCCCTGAAAAGGGATGCTGTGAGGCTTAATTACGCTTAATGCCTGTGCAGCACTTAAGAAAACGAGGGGCGTTATGTGTGTGCTAAGTATTGTGATTATGGTTCAGAGGTATGCGGGGCTGTGCATTAATTCTCTTTGCTATGGAGGGGGGGGGAAAATACATCAAAATAAAATCCTCCTGGCTCCTGGTGGCCTTTGCAGTGCTTGGCTCCCAGTGTCAGGGCTGTAATGGAGGTGCACCTTCCATCTGGATAATTAAGGGTGAGGTGGGGAGAAGGGGGAAGAGCCTCTCACGGGCAGAAGTCAGTCCATAATCAAAATGAGCTGAATTCTGTTTGCCCAGGATGATGAGAGAGAACACGTTTAGGCTCTTTGCTCCGTGCAGAGCAGCCCAAAACTCCCACTCTGGTGGCGTTGGCACTGGGAGGTCTGGTCTGTGTCGAGCTCCCATCAGCAGAACAGGCATCCTGAGGGTAAAACATCCCCTGGCAGCAGGAGAGGGCTGGGAGGTGGAGGGGACACAGGGACAATGTGCTGGAGCATCCTCGCTGCCTCATCCTCAAGGTCTAGAGAGTTGCTCCTCTGTTTTATTTCCCATTTTCGTTATGTCCTGCCTTATGCCTGCTCCTCTGCATCCCCAACAGGGAAACACAAACCTGTGCTCATCCCTCAGCTTTATGTTTCCTTTTTCTCTGTGCCCTCAGGACCCAGATTGATTAAGCATCAAAGAAAAGTCCCAGAAAGACAGAATATCTGCTTTAATCCCTAAATCCATTTTTTTGGGGGGAAGATTAAGAGAAGTAAGAAAGAACCAAGGTGCGAGCTGCTGCCTGGATGCCGATGTGCTAAAAAGTGATCGATGACTTTGGCTTCATTCATTTTTAGAGGGTAAGAGGCATAATGTGCGCGGAGGGGGAGGAATCGCTGTGGGGAACAGGATAATTGGCACAGGAGGCTGCTCTGCCAGCGTGTGTTCCTGACACCAGCCGTGTGTGTGTGTGTGTGCGTGTGTGTGCGCCCGCAGAAGAGAAAAGGCAGTGTCACAGCAGCAAAAAAGCTGCCAGCTACAGCGACAGCAGCCCCCGAGACAGCGCTCAACGTGTGCGAGGTGAGGAGGAAAGGCAGCCCGTGTATTTACAGCCGCCCACGGCAGCCGTGTCAGGGAGGTTTGATGCCTCCAAGCACGGTGTGGATCAGGGTCCATATGGAGCTGGTGCTCCAGGGACACCGGGCTCACCATCCCTGCGGCCAGAACAACAAGTCCCCTTGGATAGATGCACCTTTGGGTGCCTGGAGAAGACAGGAGAAAAGTGGGGAGGGAGAGCTGGGACTTTCCAGCCTCTTGGCAGGAGGCGTTTCAATCAATCCCAGCCCTCCTACACATGCCTCAGAGGGTTGGGCATGTCTTTTTCTTCTTCTTCCCTCTTTCCACTTAAAAACGAACGCTTTGAAAGGCGTGGAGGAGTTGGCGTTGGTGCAGGTCGTTAGCAGGAAGAGAAAGGCTCTAGAAAGAGCAGAGCCGAGGGAGAAGGGGGCACAGGGGCTGCTCCAGCTTTGGGGCACCCCCAAAAGAGGGGACGGGGCTGGTCCCCTTTCCTTGTTCAGCCTCGGTGGCACGTGCCTGAGTCTTCCCCTGTGTCAAACCCAGCAACTGTGTGACTCTGCAGGGAGCAGGGTGGGTTTGCTGAGCCAAACAAAAAGCCAGTCATTATCTGCATACATATATATTTAGGTGCATGTATATATATGTCCCTCCTACACATGCCTCAGAGGGTTGGGCACGTCTTTTTTCTTCTTCTTCTTCTTCTTCCCTCTTTCCACTTAAAAACGAACGCTTTGAAAGGCGTGGAGGAGTTGGCGTTGGTGCAGGTCGTTAGCAGGAAGGGAAAGGCTCTAGAAAGAGCAGAGCCGAGGGAGCAGGGGGCACAGGGGCTGCTCCAGCTTTGGGGCACCCCCAAAAGAGGGGACGGGGCTGGTCCCCTTTCCTTGTTCAGCCTCGGTGGCACGTGCCTGAGTCTTCCCCTGTGTCAAACCCAGCAACTGTGTGACTCTGCAGGGAGCAGGGTGGGTTTGCTGAGCCAAACAAAAAGCCAGTCATTATCTGCATACATATATATTTAGGTGCATGTATATATATGTATTTTAAGGGGTTTTGCATGCTTGGCGACAGCTGGGTTAGGTGAGGCGGATTGCAGAGTGTAAAGAGGGGCTGGAAAAATAATAAATCAATGTGATGCAGAGAGTGCAGGGTCTGGAAGTGCCCCAGAGATGGTGGGTGCCCCCATCCGTGCTGCTGGGGATGGGGTGCAAGGCACCACGTGGGTCTGGAAGTGCCCCAGAGATGGTGGGTGTCCCCATCCGTGCAGTGGGGGATGGGGTACAAGGCACCATGTTACATAGAATCATAGAGTTGTCCAGGCTGGAAGGGACCTCCAAAGGTCATCTAGTCCCACCCCCCCGCAGTCAGCAGGGACACCCCCAACTAGACCAGGTTGCCCCATCAAGCCTCTCCTTGAATATCTCCAGGGAAGGGGCCTCAACCACCTCCCTGGGCAACCTGTTCCAGTGCTCCACCACCCTCCCAGTGAAGAACCCTCTCCTCATCTCCAGTCTAAATCTGTTCCCCTCCAGCTTGCCCCACATCCGTGGGCACAAACGGGGAGCTCTCACCGTGGTGGTGTGGGCAAATGGGATGTAGGCTGGGTGTTTGTGGGGTGCACGTTGTCCCCCCTGGGTCCGTGTGTCCTTGTGAGCGAGTGGTGGCTGTGCCACCCCCTCTCTGCATCCGAAACCGACCGCTGCATCCCCCCAACTGCTCAGCTCCCGGCACCACACGTGATTACTTGGAAACGTGGTTTGCCCCATCACTCACCAATTAAGGACAGAAAGCCAGAAAAGGCACAAGCCTTTCCCTCTCGCTCTGCCGCCCCCAGCAAATGAGCCCTTCAAAGCCCTTTTGTCGGTGCTGGGGAGGGGGCCGGGGCGATGGCACGAGCCCCGTGTCAGTGGGACCCCCGGGGTGACGCTGTGCTCTGTGACCCTTTGCTCTTCACCCCCCGTGACCCCCCAAATGGGGCTGTTAACAAACCCCACCGAGGTGGAGGAGTGAGCAGGGAGGTGCGGGGGTCCAGCGGCAATGGACCCCCCCAATAAACACCTGGGCCAAACCCATGGGATGAGGGGCTGCACGTGCAGATGCACCCACTCTTGTTTTTGCAGAAAGAAAGGGGGGGAGAGAAAAAAAATGAATGGCATCCCACATTCATTGCAGTGATGCCTACCCTGCAATGGCACGTGGGAGAGCCGCTCTCCCCGTCGCCTCCTGTATGAATGGGCTGCAGGAATTTAATCTTATCTCCTCGGCAGCATAGTTTCTTTGAAGCCTTTCCCTCTTCCTTGAAACATTTTCACAGGAGGCAGCTTTTCTCCCTGCCTTCCCCAGGCAGGTCATCCTAGCAAGAGCCTTCGTTTCCTTCCAGGCTTCGCAGTGTTGCTCCCTCCCTGCTGATCCTGTTCTTCTCCCCTCGGTATGCAAAAGCTTCCTTCTCCCCTGCACTCTCTCTCGCCTACTCTTTTTCCCCTCTCCAATTATTATTCATCATTTCTGTGCAGATGCACCCACACATTTGGGTGTTTGTTGGGAGATGCAGAGATAATACAGAAGCAGCTGCCAAGAGCCTGGATCCAGGAGCAGCCTCCTTCCTCTTTCCCTCCATCGCTGCCAGGCGATGTGCCCCTGTTCTGCTGGGGTGATTTGGGTCTTTGAGACACCAGGAATGTGGCCCCAGGGGAAAAA